CCTGAGCTCTGTTTTCAGCTGCGACAGCCTCCTGCAACTCTCTAAAATGGAGTGCTGCCCACGGCTCTCCCGAGCTCCATTTTTGTTGGCAGAGGTCCTGCGGGCTTTGCTGTTTCCGGGTACCCCCCCCCCCCACGAGATCTAAGCATCCCACAGGCCAGATCCGACCCCCGGGCCTTGAGTTTGATACCCTTGATCTAAGAGACTGTTATATCAGCCTTTCCCATTAGATCTGTCAGAGAAGGCATTCTGAGGATATCATCAATTAGCAACCATATATCTCAGGATATATGTCTTTTCGGCCATGCCTCGTGGAGCATTCTTCCCCCTGAATTTAGATTGGCTCCATTTGTTTTGATATTCTGGAAAACCCTCAAGACCTGGTTATAGTCTAGGGCAGTGATGGCTAACCTTTTTTTTGGCAAATGATGGGTATGTAGTTAGATAGATAGATAGATAGATAGAGAGAGAGAGAGAGAGACAGACAAGCAGACAGATAGATGATGGGTAGGTGGATGGATGGCTGGATGGACGGACGGATGGATGGATAGATTATAGATAGATATAAGATGATGGATGGAAGGACGGACAGACGGACAGACAGATAGATACAGACAGATGATGGGTAGATAGATGGATGGATAGATGGATAGATAGATTGGAAGATAGATAGGAAGATGATAGATAAATAGATAAATGTTATATGATTCTTTATACTTGTCTTGCAGATATCATCGGCCTTAAGGTTTTCTTTTTTTAAAAAAAAGAAAAACAGCAAGAAGTGCAAGCCGTCACCGGAAGGGAAACGAACTAGCCGTGTCTGTCATTTCCTGTCTCACAAGTTGAAGAGGAATCTTGAGGCTTGTTTGAGATTAGCCTTCATTCACATATCCAGAAGAAAAGTTTCTCTTCGCCAGGAAACGGGCCAGGGACAGGAAACGCCCTCGACCCCAAAGGGAAGCATTTCATTGAAAGGAAATTTGTCACAAGTGCCACAAGATCACACGGCGGGGCAAGTCACAACCGAAAGCATTATACCTCAGATATACGGCAATACAAACAGAGGATGCCCCTTGGCTCCTTATCTTCTGGCTAATTCTGAACCCTTTCATTTCCCGTTCTCAGCGAAAAGTGAGACTTATCAGAGCAGACTTTGGAGCTATGGAATGAGAAGTATGCACGTACCTACATGATGCTGTACCCAGAAGAAACTTTAACTGACACATTACTGGAGATTTGGGGAAGGTGCTTATGGGCTTTTTTCTTTTTTTTTTTGGAGTTACTAATTTGCAGAATCACTACTGACCAATCATATGTTGTCTAGCGGAAGAATTGTTGAGCTCTAACGTGGCACATGCTGCATCTTGGGGGTGGGGGGGCAGGAGGGGGGAAACGTAACATTTTTTTAAAAAAATGGACAACAAGAAGCTCCTTTCGACACTCAAAGAGCAAATTTTCTGTGGAGAAGGGATGCACCTTTAAGGCCTGTTTAACAGGACACTGCAAAGCCTGAAATGAGTTGCCTTGAAGAAGCTGATGACGTGGAATATACTGTATTTTTTTTAAAAAAATCTTGACTTTTTTTTTTAAAAGCAACTTCCTGAAACTAATGTGGAGCTTGCCTTTTTTCTTAGATTTGTAGCAAAAACGTACTGAAACGTAAATGATTCGCAAAGGGCTTAAACCCAGCTTTTTAAGAAAAGGAAAGATTGGCATGGCATTGAATAGATTTGACGGAATGGTTCTCTGAACCGTGTATCACTGGCCACATCCGAGATGCCTGTCCTATGACGTTGGAGTGAGGAGATGGCGGGGGGTGGGGGATGATACAAAAACGGGAATTTGGACATGTGTTGGTTCTGTAGTTGAGCATCGGTTTGGCGGCACATCTCTTCACACATCTGTATAAGGTCACACCCGTAGAAGCTTGTAGATGCATGTAGGCTGGAGGCTGATATGGCTGTGCTTCCTCAAATCCAGGAGACCTCTCTTCTTTTTTTTGCTGCTACTTTTGCAACTACACACCTTTTGGGCAGGAGGATGACCCAGACACAAGAGGACAGGATTCAGATCTCTTAAAAACATGGTGCAGAACAAGGAATATATGTGCAGTCAATCTTCTTGGAAAAAAAACTCCCTTCTGACTGATTTCAGTAGCGATTAAAGGGCAGCGGACAGCTTAGGCTGCATCCAGCTTCTTCTTATCTTTTCACACAGATGAGATAAAAGCTTATGCATATTGGAGGTCTTTCTATTCAAGAAATGGTCCTCCTACTGCTCCAAACTTGGCAACTTTAAGACTTGTGGACTTCAACTCCCAGAAGAATTTTGGGAGTTGAAGTCCACAAGTCTTAAAGTTGCCAAGTTTGAAGACCTCTGTCCTAATGAGTGAATCTGGGGGAATGCAAGGCATGGGCAAACCTGCCTTCACTTCCCCTCTCCCCCTTACTCTCATTCCAGCCTATGCCAGTTGCCTTTCTGGTGTTCCTGTGAGGGGAGAAGAATGTGGTCTTGTCTTTGTAAGGAGCCATTTTGCAAGGAGAAAAGCTTTTGGTGTGGATTATGGGATAAGTGCCAGTGTACTCTTTTCATCCGAGCAATTCCCCCCCCCCCATGATGTATAAAATCTCTACTAAGGAAATCATTGTGTTGTCTTCCTATCAACAAGATTGTATGAAATAAATTTTTTAGGAAAAAAAACATATCCTTGTTTTTCATTCTGTTTCTTCTCCATAATAATACATACACAAATTTTTATGAATAAACATCAGGGGCGTTTAGTTGCAGAGTGAGAGTGATTGAATATTTCTGCAGGTGGATAGGAAATGGGTTGTGCATATTTCAATCACTTCTATTGCTATACTCGCAATCTCTGTTTCAATATCCAAGAGACTCTTTGTGTTCCCAGTAATACCAGTGTATTCTGTTTTTGTGTTCTTCAAAACTTAGTGATTTATGGTACATGTTAACCCCCCCCCCCAAAAAAAAATCTACATTTTAATTGGATTCTGCAGGCAAGGTTCTTGAACTTGTCCACATAGTTATTTGCATGAACTTTGTGGTATATTGTGCTAAATCAATGTTTCTCAACTTTAGCCACTTGTTGATGTGTGGATTTGAAGTCCCAGAATTCCCAGCATTCTGGGGAATTCTGGGATACTGCACATCTTCTTCATGACCTGTTTTCCTTGTTATCTTCTGGGAGGAGGCTTCGTGCTCGAAGCAGAACATCCAGATTCAGTCAGTTTTGTTCCATATAGTATCCAATATGCATTCAAGATGGGCAATGATGTATTTGTAAGTATGGGTGTAGGCATATGCATAAGTATGTATCCAGGCATGTCTGTATGTTATGTATGTCTACACTTTTCAGAGCAGGCAACAAAAATTCATTTTTAATGTGTGCCAGTGTGCCCACAGTAAAAAAAATGACAATAAAGGTTATCTTGGGAGTTGAAGTCCAAACATTTTAAACTTCCAAGGTTGAGAAACACTGCTCTGAATTATGGCTTATGCTTAATGTATTGTGTGCAACTTTCTGCAATTGCATAATGTTGCTTGCACATAAAAAGAATACCGATAAATAAGATAGATAGATACACATAAACACACACACTGCGTAAGCACAACCATTTGGGGTTTAATTTAAAAAATGGCGAAGCCTATGGCCCCTCACTGTGTTGGGGGATGTTGAAGCTGCTAATTTGGTTCTAGCTTCTTACCTAAATTTACTTTCTTTTAAATGAAGGATGTTATATAGCCCTGGAAGTCTAGTGATGTGGCCCCACAAGATCACAAATCTTTCACATTATTATGATATTTTTACTGATATTTATGTAATTAAATATATTATATATTTTCTATGTGGCCCAAGACAATTCCTCTTCACTCAATGCAGCCAAGCAAGTCAAAATATTGGACATGCCTGTTTTAAATGGAAAATATATGGTGAATATATATATCCAATAGCCAATAGAAAAATAGGTTGGGGAAAGCCTTATTTTTGAGATTTGAAAAATAGATCTTGCATTCTAAAATAATTAAGAAAAAGTACATCATATTCTAGCAATTCGATGGAAGTTCTGAAAAATTGAAAACTAGAGAACAAATCCTTTCTTGGTAGAGGAGCTGCTAGTATTCGGTCAATAGGGGGCGTTTCCGCCTTGTTTTCCCTTGAAATCTCGTTTTATCTTCGAGATTTTGGGCTCATCCCGTCTGGCTGCACCGATTCGCCTGCCGCTGATTCGCGCACGCGTATTGTTGCCCAAAGAGATGTCCTTTGTAGAAAACGTGCGGTTTCCAATTGCACGCGGTGGCACTTTCCGTTTGGCAAGCAATAAAGCAATAAAACCAAGACTGCTTCAAGGGATTAGGATTCCTTGAAAACTAGTGTGGGAGGAGGCAAGCCTCGCCAGTTTGGGTGGCTTTGGCTATTATAATATTTTGCCCCGCACCCTGAAGCACCGCGTGAGAACCGGAAAGCGAAGGTTGCGTGGAACAAGTCCAATGGAATCTCATTGGCTTTCGGTTGATCACCTTCTACAGGATTTCTTCTGCGCATGCGACATTTGGTTTTCCCGGCATCCTCAGCGCACTATAAATACAAGCGTCGGGGGGCTTTTCGTTCTTTCTTTGGCACGTGGCGAAGGGAGGTGAGTCAGCTTGGTCATATTTCTCGCTTAATAGGGCGGTTGCGGCAATCGCATAGTTGACATTTTATTAACATAAAAGATTAAGTCGGGGGTTGCACATCCAGATTTATTAATGTATTTATTAACTTTATGTCCTTCCCGACCCATAGCGGTTCTGGGCGTCTTTAGATAGTGGTACATCAATAGCAACAATCGCAGTTAGAAATTGCACGAATGAAAGAATGCTCGACTTATAAGAGGCTTAAAGGGGCGGCAGTTAGAAAGCCTCTAATTTTAATTAAGGCAACTTAATGGAGTCTTTTGGAAAAGGGCGAACTGAATCTTAGGCAGATGCTGCTGCTTCAGCCTTTGTCCGCCCATCCCCGAATTATTAAAAACATATTGCCCCTCTTTCCCACGTGGAAGTGATGGGCAAAAGAGATAAGAAGTCTGTTGAATACTTAGTTGAATTAGCACTGCTTTATGCCTTTTTAAAGGTAATAATAGAAGATTCTGTGAATTATTTGAAACACAATCGGGTTGTGAACAGGGAAAAAGGTTGCTGGTTTATTGAGGCTATAGTAATCTACCTAATTTATTAATGGTGACCTTAAAGCGAGTTGGATTATTTTCTTTACTCAAAACTTTTACGTGTGACTCCTTGATTAAAAGAATAGGTCTCCGAACTTGGAAAGTTTGCTTATAGTTGAGCTTTAATGGGCTGAGAAGTTGTGATAGTGCACAACATTGATGTGCATGGCTGGATAGTGCATTATGTTGAGTTAGAATCATTTATAATCGTCAATAGTTTGCCCATTTTAAGCATAAAACTATAGCTCCCAAACCAGCATATCTGTATATTATGTACATATATACGTTATGACTGAATAAATGGCTTGCCATTGTTTATAGACTCATTTCTAATGTGCTATATCAATTTCTCAGTGTCAATCATGGTTGTATTCATTTCTAATGTAAGTTTTATTGCAGGGAAGAACTTCGTTGGTTTTTGTTTGATGCTGCTGAAAATGCCATTCAACTCAAAGATGAAGACTTTGAAGCATAAAGGTATTGTTAAAAAAAATTCCTTTATTTTTTAAGTTTCGAGGGACATCTATCTAAAACTGGTTCCAGCCTCCAACTCAGCTTATTTAAAAAAAAAAATCCTAACTGCTCAGAATTAAGGTACTTGGGCCTAAATAATCTCCAGACTGCAAATCTTAATTAAGGTAAATGTATCTTCCTTAATTTTAGGAGCAAGGGCATTCTTCCCTTGAATACATAATTGCCCATAGTTTGAATTCAATTTACATAAATGGAGGGATGTATCAAACCTAATTGGATCCAACAGGGACACCTGGAGAGTTTTCACTCTCTCAGCTCTGTCCATGTGGCGTACGGGAGCGTAGGCTTCTGTCCTATGACGTATGGTCCCCTTCCACACTGCTGAAGAGCAAGTTGGACCTCCGTGGTCTGCAGCCTGCATATTCCTACTGCTTCTCTGAGTCTTTGGACCGTGACAGAGGAGATAAACCATGCAGGAGACATTTTTGCCTGTCATTTCTGTATATTCCAAAGAAGCCTTCAAACAAACCGTGAAGGAAAAGGAGACACAAATAAGTCACAGCCCAATCAGGAGTGTATAGCAAGAGCCACAGTTTGAAGATGTTAACTTACTATTTTGTGTTTCTAATTGTGTATTTCAGTAGGCTTTTGAAAGCCCAACCAGGAAGATACAGAAATGACA